ATTAGAAGACCTCATGGTCATAATAGCCCCATTATGATCAACAATATACTAAAACACTTAAAAAAACACAAAACACAAACCTAGTCCTCGGAGCATGAAACAGATAATACAAACCAGAAAAAACGCTTGCAGATAGATAGGGGAAACTTTAAAATTGCATAGAAAATTTCCTCCCCTGAAAAACATGAAGAAGAGGTTTAATAACCAACATCACTATTGTGTATCACGGAAACAAGGAACACATGTGAGTAAATTTGCTTTCTACACAAGCAAATCAAATTAATAGGGATTTAAGCATATCCTTGCTAGTACTTTGTTTTCCCTCTCCACTGTTTCCTTCCAATTCTCCCTTTCGAATTATTAGGGATTCAATTTTATCAAATAAAAAGAAACCTTATAATTAAGGCCTGAATCATACGAACAGAGACAGTGACGACACCAACCATTCTAAGCCATCTATTTGTTTTCTCGAAGAACAAATCTAATGATCCTATAGCACAATTCAGTCAGAGAGTTTTCGTCATATTAAATCAGTTAATTTAGGAACTAATAAAACAACTCCGGAAAATAACCATGACGAAGGGAACTAATCAATGAAATTAATCAGTAGAAAACAAATCTCAACTGAGTAAACTGCGAACCATTAGGTAGATCCAAATTTAGAGCAGTTCTAAAACATCTAGCATACATCCAATTTTAGAAACTCCCACATTCAGAAGCTTAATGTGAACAGAAAAAATGTAAATAATAACAAAATTGCAGGAATTCCAAACACCCTACCAGAAGTAAAGATTCAGTATCTTTACTTGTTAAAACCGAAACGCTATTAATAAATGAAAATTACTTGGAATGAGACCCTCAGCCCCTCTCTCCAATCACGATAAATTAATTTCAGTCCACAACACGTCAAAAAACAAATTGAAATCAAATTGAAAGCGAAAAATTTGAAGTTTGGCAAGTGTGGCCATTGAACCTAGAGAAATCACTATGTTTAACCCAAACAGCCAGAGCAACGTCTTCCCACTTAAGCGAGTGCATAGCCAAAGTAGAAAATTCAAATCTATAGCATTCATGTGCAAAAAAGGGCACCACAACCGGCTTTTTTAACTCTTGCAGCAAGCAATTTGACATAAACAGACCAAAATAATAAAACTCTTAAATGAAGTTCGTACCTTTTTAGAAAATAAAATAAATCAAAACCTTCTTAGGCTTTTTACAAAAACTATTGGGCGTGTAGTTGTATCTGCAATTAAAATTTAACCACGAAAAACTTTTTCGAACACTAAGCAACCAATTGCCAGCCAGAACCACATTAATAATACAAGTAGCCAAAAACACCAAACACCTAAGCTCCCCAAACTTCTGAAGCAAAGAAAAATGTTGTTGCTGGGGTGGAAGTGGCTTATAGACTGCAAAAGCATAATCTTGAATGGGTAGATGTATTTTTTTCACTGGGGTGCTTTTAGAATATAGGTATTTGTGATAATATATTAAATAATAGTAATATTATAATATTATTATAATAAGCTTCATGCACCTAAGACTTAATAGGAAAATAATTCTGCACCCAAACAATGTCAGAATGCAAAATACGTATTACAAATCAGAAGGGTGGAAGATTTAGTTAGTGTCTAGGGTAGTGAGAAAAGAAGGTGCCACGAGTGGTTCATCAATGCCATATTGGATAAGATCAATCTTAGTTCCGAATGATCATCTCTTAAATACTGCTAGTAAGAATTTGATTAAAGTTAGAAGGATAAGTTTTATCTATGTTAAAAGTCAAGTCAAACATTCATACTCGGAAAAGCGGCAAACTAAAATACCGAAAGAAAGAGCCAAAAAGATGATAACAAATTCAATTTTTGCAGGTTCCATCTAAAGACGCATTCGAATGTTCCCAAATCTAATAATTCTCATGTTATGCAATAAGTATAGTGATCGAAATAAAAACTAATCTAGTAATTGGGCATCTGACATAACCTGAGCTGCGACCGAATGTGAACAGAAGGGAAGAGTTTGGTTATTCATGCTGGGTTGAAACCATTCCCGGAGAGCCCAAGAGAAACTCTATGCCCAGCACTTGCAGCCCCAGTGACCACTGCGTCATACGAGTGGTAATTGTAATCACATTCTGCATGTGCATATATCAAAATACGAAGATGTAAGGTATAATAAGAAAATAATCCACTATAAATTAAAAATCAAGGTTTCTTATACTCTAGCTCAGCCTTACCATATCATAAGAAGATGCAACAATCATAGTTCATTGCATATTTTAGAGAATCACAACCTGGAATGAGATCACAGTTCATTAGATGTATTATAGATCCCTGATACTATCCCGACGTGCGAAAATGAGTAGGGCAGTGTTTGCAGCACTTGTGCAACCTGAACCAAAACACGTACAGAACAATGTAAACCATTTGACAACAATACAAGAACAATTAAAAGCAATGAAACGGTGAAGATGCAATAGTCAGTGATGGACGGAACGGCAGAAAAACAAAAAAGAAATGTCTGATTAGAAAGAAGTTAGAAATTTTGTTTTTAGTGGAGCTAATATAGATATGTTCTTCCTCTCCATTTTTGAGTAGATTCCTGCAATTATACATTCTCTTTGGTCTTGCGATACACAGAAATAAAAATCTACAATTACAACTTTCACACATATTCCGGTGTGTTTTCTACTCCTAAGAAATTAAAATAGTGAATTGACAAAAAAGGAAACAAAATTTCACAAACTAATTACTAATGATGTTGTATTTACTCAAATTCTTATTTGTCAGGCAAACAAATCGAAATGAAATTTCACAAAAGTGAATCCTGTACTACTTACTGGAAGTTAACAACATATATTGCACTCAAAACTATGACCTTCATCAAGATTTACCACTGTCTGGATTATTTGTACAACCATAGGTAACGTGAACAAATTCACATTTTTTGAATTTCAACAGTGCATCAAAAGGTAATGGTTGAAACAAAAAAAATATAAAACCCACATTAACCTAAATTAGTACATCAAGTACAGTCAAAGGTGCCTTACCAGCTAATGAATTTCATTAAGTCAACTCTATTCTATATTTTGTTTTAGACATCTCAATGCTTCCAGGGGAAGATGGAGGTGTTACGTTGGTGTCTATGAAAGGGAATAAAGCCTCAAGCTCCACATTTCAATGTAACCCAAGTCACTATCCAACAATAACTCCATATTCTATAACCAGCTTAAAAAGCTAAGAGATTTGTACTCTTGTTTTGGCACCCAAAAAAAGTTAACGGCATAGGAATAAACAAAGAATTAAATTTTTCTAAAAACCATTACTCCAAAATGCCAACGAGTATTAATAGTCAGGTAAGTAGTATCCACTCAATTTCTAATAAGCTAAGACAGAACAACCAATACAAAGTGTGTTTTGCTTGAACTTTGTCTCTTTCGCACCTAACTAGCTCTATAGCTCCTGGCACCTAAACAATTCACACCAATATCAATTGTTTAAAGAAAAATGTATAAGGTTACAGGGAGAAGCAGATCATTTAATCATTCAGCAACTTTTGCACATTACCTTTATCGGGATATCTACCCCTATCCATTGCAAACGTTTTGAACACAAAATTCCAACTGTATACAGAGCACATATCCATTCTTAAACAATGTAAACAAGAATTACTGGTAAGCATTCAATACATGATAACACCTTAAGACCAATATCAATCAGGAATATCTAATTATCAAATTCTCCAACTATATTTCACAATAATATATAATTGTTGAACAAAGGACTTGTTTTGTTAAAATCAAAACACCACATAATAATCACAAACAATTGAAACAGACAAACAATACAAAGCGGGGTACTGTATTGAGCAAAGAAGGGGAAATCAAAATTTTAATTTTTTTTAATAAAAACTAACCTTCTTCAAAAAAAAAAACAAACAAACAAACAAAAAAATAAAAAAACAAAACAAAACAAAACTACCGCCTCCGCCACCAGCTCCTCCACCTCATGTTAATATGAAATGACCCCTATGCTGCCTCCGCCACCATCCTAACCAGCTCCTCCACCTCAATTTTCACTCTGATTTGCCTCGAAGTCCACCCCATCCGCAACCACTGCACTTGTGTTAATGGGGGTCTTAAAATTAAGAAATCATTGGCAGAAATTGGAGAGATATAGATTCGTTGGAAAAACAGAATTGGGGAAATGGAGAGCGGAAGAGAAAGAACGATGCTGCAGTAAAATTTAGCGTAAATTATAGATTCGTTGCAAATTGATTGGAGATACCGACGGTCGTGGTGATGGTGTGGTCTGAGACATTGTGGGTTTGAAGGAGGGAATGGGGGAAAATCCCGGTTCTGAAGAAATTAACGCGGTTAAAAGGCAAAATGAAATTGAGAAACCCATATCGAAATGGCGTCTTTTTGGCAGTCGGGGGTTTTAAACGACGTCGTGTTTACAGTCTGGGGGTTTTTTTTGTTTAAATTCGGAGACGTGGGGGATTTAATAAGGAAAAAATCCAATATATATTAATTTACGGATTTAACCCCACTTAAGACGTGGCAGTGAAATTAATATAGACCGTCGGATCGAGACCTATCAATAGACAAGATCTCAAGATCTCATCTAGATTTTTATTCAAGTATTAGGATTACTATGATAAATAAAAAAAATTCAACTTAATCTTGAACTTGATTTCCTTTCTTACCTGCGTTTCCATTTTCACTATTGTTATTTATTTTGACCTTTTTTTTTGGCAAACGAAAATCACTTTGCAAAGTATTACTTGGTGAATTTGCACACCCTTACGCATTTGTCCTTAATTCATTGTCACAACATTCTCCATTCCTAAGCCGAGAATCTACAGACATAAGATCAAGGCACTCAGCTTCCTATAGCCTTCTCACCGTCTTGTTTTCAATGACTTGATGAGTGATGACACCCACTATCCTTTAATTGAATAGATGAATTGTTACTTTACTGGGATCCGCAAAACACCATCTATTCCACTAACATCTAGCGTTCATGTGTTGTTGTTCCTCCTAAGATTCATAGAAAAAATGGCACTGGAACTAATGCGTGTTTCCCATAGTCTACATGATTCCCTTATGCCCTTAACTTCCTCATCTTCATCAAGAAGACAGTACCCATCCTTCTGCAACTTGATGAAAAATTAATGCTCATTATTGAGAAACCTCAATCCCTTTAACAATTTTATGATCTTCATCCTTGTTATTACTCTTGTTGTTCTTCGAGCAATTAAACATTTTTTATTCTGGTTTTGGTTTTGTAATTAGGCCGACCATTTTCTTAGAAAAATATACAAATTACTACTCGAATTAATCATTCTCCGGAGCTCTGCATATCTTATTCCTTTCCCCCATTAATCATGTACTACAATAAAGGAATTACGGAGTAATTCAAAATTCAGCCAATAATGACTTCTAAATTCACAAGGATATTATCAACTTTGATGTAATGGTAATGCAATATCAGGAGAAAAATAGAACGCGCCTAACGCGCCTACCACAAGTTCCCTCATGCGCCCCCAAGAATTCCATATCTGAACGCTGCTACTGTTGGGCTTTCCTGTCCGTAGTCTTGAAGCTGCAACCGTTTCGCTGCTGCAACTCAACTTCTTCTCCGATCTTGGTTCCCGCATACGGCGGCAGTTGTTTCGGTGCTTTTGGCGAGCTTCGCTGCGACAACTCAAGTTTTCTCCAGTGCTCTTTGGTGATATTTGATACCGGCACCTTCACTTCTGGCGTGCAACATCATCACTTTCTCCGGTGCTCTTCTTCAATTTCGGCGTGATTTCAAAGCTATCAGGTTGACATCCATCTTCTCCAAGTGACTGGTACTCTGTCTTGTTGTTATATCAAGGAATCACATACATGCAGAAGCTAATTTGCTTGAATATTATACTGGATTTGAGCTGAATTTTTAATAATGGATTCAAAGGGCTAGTTTTGGGAGATTCTATTTTGGAGGTTCTATTTATTTTGGCTGTAGCTCTATTTTGGGTCACTATCGTAGCTCTATTTTCTAGTGGGATTGAATCCTTGTGTTCAGGGATCAACAAAGTTGCAAACCCCTATGGAAGAACTACGGTTTTCTGCTCATGGCAGGGTTAACAGGTATATTTCCATTGCTAAGCAACTTCTTTTCCAACAGATCTCTTGTTACAACTTAAGGCTATGGGTATTGCCATTCCAAAATCTGTAGCCACAGGAGAGCTTCTTAAATTCCAATTGAATGGTCTCCACCAAATTGTAAACACCTCCTTGACAAATGGAGTCTCTACGATTACAATCAGTTTGAGTTTACCCCCATCTCAAACCATGGAAATTCCGAACAAAGGTCGCCGGAAGAACAGAAACAAAAGGAAAAACGACATAGCAAGTCTTCTGTGCCACATAATCATCTCACTACCCAGGGAGGACAATTGGAGTGGAGGAAAGTCCCCATTCCTGTACCTGGGAATGTTTCAGTTGATGAAAATATTCCTGATTTAGTTCCAATGGTATCCCAAGACATGATTGATCCAAAGAGGACTGGAGGGTTTGATGCAGAGAGGCCTAAACTGATGAAATACAACATGACTCAAGGTCTTAGGGGAGAAACTAATCTTCGGCTTATGGAAACTTCTGAGCTGAAGGGGTTACAACAGAAAGATTCTCCAATGGTTATTTGTGTAGACCTAGAAAATGAGGGAGTCCCAAAGGAGGGCCAACCATGCCCGACATCACTCTTCACCTCATCTTCTTCACTAAACATAAAGAAAAAAGTCAGAAAGCTACACGGAGCCACAAGGAGGAACACGAATAAATCATTGGGAATGCGTACCAAGAACTCCTGGTGCCGGGGTTTGAGAAGGTTGCAATGTAACACCTCTGATATTGACAGTTGTTTGCCATGGCGCTGTGGAATGAAAAGAAGTTTGGTTCATCTAGAGGAGATTGTGACCCCACATAAACGCAGAGTTGTCCACGACAACTTATGTACTCAGAAGCATAGTTTTTCAAAATCCCGATCCGCATCTTAAAATCTTACGATCATGCGATCCAAAATTAAAAAATCTATCCTGGATCTTATGGAATCATTCTCTGTAGTGGGATCTTATAGAATTCTTCAAACTTCCAATCTAAATAATAGGATCCTACGATCCAGCGATCCCATTGATTTTATCGATACTTGTACAATTTGTTGATTTCGTATAAAAAAGAGGAGAAAATGATTAGAAAAGATATAAAAGTTGAAATTTTGAGTTGATGATACTTATGCGGGTAATCTAATTCTTCTCTATAAAATCAAACAAGAATTGAACTAACAAATTGAAACTCTCAATTTCAGAATTATTATAGTAATTTAAATGGTTTCGATCCTGCCGATCCAATCCCACCGATCCAGGATCTAATCCGATCCTGAGACGACAAAACGATCCTGTGTGAAATTCTGATTTTGAAAACATTGCTCAGAAGTTGTTTTCTCAAGTAAATGCTTTTGACACTACTCTCATTGTCTCTTATAATGTCAATGTATCAGATAACCTTCAGGTCAGGGAGGTTGTGGAAGTTACTGACCAGCTGAAGTGTTTTGTGGTGGTTGAACTATATCAACCGCCTCTGTCACTATGAGTATCTTGTCCTAGAATTGTAGGGGTATCAACAATGCCTCTACAAAGCAGTGTATTAGTAGATTAGCTAAACATTATAAACCTTCTATTTTATTTTTGATGGAGACTAGGACAAACTCTAAGGCCATGGAAACGTGGCAACAAACCACTGTTTTTAGGAATTCCTTAGTAATAGATCCCGTGGGATCTAGTGGTGGTTTGGCTCTATTTTGGCTAAATAGTGTACAACTAGTTATAATCCAGCATAATGCTATGTAATAGTAGTACAGGTCAAATAACCATGAAGTGCTCAGTGGATAGATGTTTTCTTGTATGGCCTGCCTTCCCGCCAAGTTAGATATGAATTTTGGTCTTAGTTAAATACCAATCTCAGCAGCTTGTCCTATCCTATGGTAGTACTAGGTGACTTTAATCGGGTGACTAGTCAGGAAGACAAGAATGGTGGCAGACTAGTGCGAGACCAGGAAACCAATCCCATTCAATAGTTTTTATCCCATAATGATTTGGAGGAACTCACTCATACTGGTTACTGGTATACCTGGACCAACAAGAGACAACATCAAGAAGCCATCTTTGAAAGGCTTGATAGAGCCTTTGTCAATAGACAATGGCTTACATGTTTTTCCAAGGCAGTGATTTGAAATCTACCCATCATGGTTTCTGATCATGCACCTATTCTGGTACAACTCAAAGAGAAGAAACAAAAGCCAAGGAAGCTCCTAAAATTTGAACAATTCTAGACCAGATGCCCTAGATCAAAGGAATTGGTTCACACAGCTTGGACACAAGGCACTTTACAAATCAACAATCCACAAGAAAAACTTTCTCATCAATTGAAGTCAAGTCTCATTAGTCTTCACGATTGGAGCAAAGACCAATTTGGTAACCTTCAAAAGCTAGTAGCAAAACTCACGGAGCAATTGGCTTCCTTACAATTGCAACTGGAATCTTCACCAAATGATTCTAATATTTTTTCTAAAGTTCAAAACAAAAGGCAAGAATTAGAAGAGGCCATCCAGCACCAACATGATTATTGGCAACAAAGATCCAAACTGATATGGCCTTTGCAGGGAGATCGAAACACCAAGTTTTTTCATCAGTGGGCTACAAGAAGGAAGGGTAGCAATTGGATTACGGAGTTACAAAATCAAGAGGGTTGTTGGTTACAAGAGCCTGATCAAATTGGTAATCTTCTACAACAACATTTTGAAGATCTCTACTTTGTGTCACATCCCAATTCTCTGCCTCCTATGGATTCCCCTTTCATGATCCAGCTGTTACAGAATGTTCAAGAAGTCCTCTCACCTACTCAGGTCCAGGCAATGGCTCAACCTTTCACTGCCTCCGAGATATGGGAAGCTGTCAACCAAATGGCTCCCTGGAAAGCACCAGGTCCGAATGGAATGCCTGCTGGCTTCTACAAGATATATAGGCATACTATTGGACAAGATGTAGAGGAGACCATCCTAGATCTGGTCAACAAGCAGCAATTTCCCCAAGAATGGAATCACACGAGCATGGTCGTAATTTCAAAGGTACAAAATCCAGCCACTCCTGGTGACTTTTGTCCCATAAGTTTGTGTAATGTGAAATATAAGATCATTACAAAAATGATCGCAAATAGGCTAAAAGCCATCATTACAGACTTGCTGGATGAACATCAAAATGGATTCGTTCAAGGGAGAAATATTAGTGAAAACATTCTTCTTGCGCATGAAGTTATTGAACACATCAACAAAAAAGAGGGAGAAACGGGTCTGGCTGCAATAAAATTGGATATGAGCTAGGCTTATGATCGTGTATCATGGCCCTTCCTTGAGGCAGTTCTCAGAAGAATAGGATTTCCAGTGAATGTGATCAACCGCATCATGTTTCGTGTTACAACACTCTCATACTCTATCCAAGTCAATGGGGAAGGATTTTCTTATTTCAGACCAAGCAGAGGTTTAAGACAGGGATGTCCATTATCTCCATATCTGTTTATTCTATGCCAGCAGGTGCCCTTTTCTACCATCAGGGCAGAGATCCAGACATTCCCAGGACTTGGCATCAAGATTAGCATATGTGCGCCAAGGATAAGCCATTTGATGTACGCTGATGATAGTTTGGTCTTTATTGAATGCACAGAAGAGTCAATCCAAGCCCTGACAGGCATTATAGAAATGTATGCCTCCTATTCAGGTTAGAAAATTAACTATCACAAATCCTCCATACTGCTGAGTCCTAACACCTCTTTACCTATAAAGAATCTTGTTCACTCAGCCACCAAAATACCAGAGGGAACTTTCCATAGCAAGTATTTGGGTCTATCACTGGATTTCAGGACAAAAAAAGAAGGAGAATTTTAAAAATTTTACTGCAAGATTGTCTAACAAGTTTGCAGATTGGAAGAAGAAACTCCTCTCTTTTGCAGGACGGGTTACTTTAGCAAAGTCCACACTTTCTGTAATACTAGTATATCCAATGGGTGTGTTCAAACTTCCAGCTTCCACTCTGCATACAGCTGACAGAATCATCAGCAACTTCATTTGGAAAGGTGACTCACAAAATAAGGGCATCCATTGGCGTTCATGGAAGAAAATATCCAAATCTATGTTTCATGGAGGGTTGGGACTGAAAGCCACATAGGAATTTAATCAAGCTTTGTTGGCAAAGCATGCCTGAAAAATTCTCTCCTAGCCAGAATCTTTGCTCTTCAAAGTGTATCGGGGTAAGTATTGTCGCACAGATCATTTCCCTCACTCTCATCCACTTGGTAATGCCACCTGGGGCTACAAAAGTGTTCTCTGGGGAGCACATTTATTGAAGCACAATGGGAAGTGGCAAGTGGTTTCTAGCAGAACCATCCACATTGCAGATGATTGGATACCTAGTCACTCAAACCCCATCCAGCGAGACTCTTTCCTTGCCAGACATTCCAACATCATGGTCAGTGATCTTCTCCGACCAGATGGACAATAGAAAATCTCTTTTTTGAGGATCATCTTCCCGGATCATAGTATTCCATACATATCTGGAATCTTTATTAATCCAGCCAGAGGTATACAAAATGATAAGATTGCTTGGTTGCACACATCCTATGGAAACTACACAGTACAATAGGGATATCATATGGCTCTAAATGCGGCTACACAAAATCCATCCCAGGGTCAGCAAACGCATCAGAGAGAGGTCTTTGCATGGAAAAAGTTGTGGAATTCTAGAGTTCAACCAAAACACAAATTACTTTTTTTGAGGGCAGTCTTAAATGCTGTACCCTCTAAAGAAGGTCTGCGAAAAAGGGGGATACAAGTAGACACTTTGTGTCCGAGATGCTTCACCCAGGTTTAAGACAACTTCCATCTATTCTTTAAATGCCCTATCAATCAATCTGGAGCTTTGCCTATCCCACCTTCCAATCAATCTTGGATGGAAATGCTCCCTTAATTCTTGACTGGTATATACAATGGATACAGACTTCTCCCCCAGCGGAAGATCTTGATCTTTTCTTCTTAATATTTTGGAAAATTTGGATTGAAAGGAATGATAAGGTATGGCACAATCAAAGCACGGTTCCAGTGTGGTCTTTGGCGGCTCATACAACAGGACTTTGATGATCACAAGACTAACCTTTTACGAAAGAATTCCATGCAGTTCTTGTCCGCCACCAGTTCAAGGATACATGCTCATCAGGCTATAATAGCTTTCGATGGTTCTTTTTATCCCCCCACTAGAAGTGCAGCCGGAGCCTAGAAAATTACATCTGCATCGGGACTACTTATGCCAATCAAAGTCATTTCATTTTCATTACTATCGACTTTCCAAGCAGAAGCAATGACATGCCTTATGGCTCTTCAGGAAGCATCAACACTTGCCTGCAAAATATCTTGGTACATACCGATTGTGAATTCTTAACTACAAAATAACCTCTGAACCGGCTCCCTAGAGAGGCATAACAAGTAGTAGCACAGCTATGGCATTTAATTTCTACTTTTCAATCGTGTACTTTAGCTAAAGTTAGTGGAAATGATATCAGTGAATTACATAATTTAGCTTACGCTAAACAACGTTGTAATATTATAGGTACTTCGAATTAATATACAGGTACCATTTCAAAAAAAAAAATTCTAAATTCACCCACACTGCTTGCTCCCAGAAAACCCTCACATAATCACACACTTTTGGAGGGTTATGCCATGACTACTAGGTTCAATGAAAGCATGAAGAAGAGGGGTGTCATCAGCCGGGGACATGGGTTCAACGGAAAGCACCAGAACCATCTCAGAGGTCACCGTAACGGTGGAGGCATGCACCACCAAAGAATCCTCTTCGACAAGTAGCATAATCAGCCGGTCGTTGGTGAGGATCATCTTATTTCAAATATTGCAGAGAAGAAGAAAATAAACGAGGCTGGCGAAGCGGCGATTCTGTCGTTCTTGTTCCTCTTGCTGTAGCTATTTTTGTTATAGGAAAAAAAAGTTTTCGTTTACATCTATTTGAATGTTCGAATTTTGTTTTAATGGAACCTTTCTAGAGGAGAAAATAAAAGACAGGATATTGTAACTATTGAAGAGCTTGGGGCAGGGTTAAAATTATGCTGAGTTTTTTAGACGTAAGTAGCGGCTGGATAATTTACTAGTACGGGTGCAATTATCAGGTGTGGTGTGGTGTTTTTTAAATTTAAAACACCTCATTTTAATCTAATGATTATCAATAATCTTAATCATCTGACGGCTGTAAATATCAATTGAACTATTCAGTCGACTAAACTGTATATATATATATATATATATATATATATATATATATATATATATATACACACTATACTATACTTCTAACGAAAATTCAGAAGTTTATTTATTTCTATTTGTAGTGTTATTGTTAATCTTAATCAACGAATATATAATATAAGACTTTGTGATATTTTTAAACTATTCGAGAAAATATATATTCAAAAACATCGTAGATAAGCTCATAGTCTAAATTCATCTGTATCGTCCCCATTGATTCCCCCCATTTATAGAGAAACTAGATGTTAGACCCATCCGATGGACGGGGAGGACATACACATATAGACATTATAACATCAGTGAAGCAAAAAATATTAATATTTTTTTTTTTTTATAGATTTTGTATTATTATAAACTATATAGTGACTTCATTGAAAGCATAAAACACAAACATCAACAATACTTTACCAAAGAATACAATGATAAATTATTTAACACAAAGAGAGTTGTTAAGAATTTCATAAAAGACAATATAAAAAGACGAAAAAGAAAGAACTTCAAATTGATCGATTATATATCCTGCAATACTTCTTTGTAGACTACATTCTTAGTCTTTGAATTGACATCACTCGATAGCTCTACTCGCAGCATCTCTGTCCTAGTCGCATTCAGACATTGGTTCGTACCATTTAGAATCCAGGGCCATGCCAATTTGGCCACCTTGACTTTTCTGCACATTCGAGAAGCTTATAACATTTCTCTGACCCAAAATGATGCTCGTGTTTGTCGTATTAAAAGTACTTATCAAAGTTCTAATGAAAAATATATACCTTGAAATTCTTGTGGTAGTGATGATAAATAGCAGCATGTGACAACAAAATATTGTGAGCTACAACATATGGTTCATCAGATGACTTCCCTTCCCTCCAAAACAAATGTCCTACAATGGAGCACCTCCCTGGAGCTTGAACACCCAAGTCGTAACCTTGACTTGCAAAACCTTAAGGCTCGTTGAATGTGATCCAATGCTTCACTCTATCCTCAAAGGCTTCGAAACATGTAACGGCATATTGTTCAAAATTCTTCCTGCAATTGACTGGAAAAAAATAAAATAAAATTCAAGTCATAAAAATTAAAGATATTACATATGTGGCAAGAATTTGGAGGGTTATTATACAGACACAATTTGATGATCCAGGAATCCTCTATATGCATCCTGTAGTGCATGTGGAAGGAATTGTATACAGTTTTAAAATCTGACTTTTTTGATTCACATTTAGGATTTGGGGAAGATATGTAGGGATTTGATTAATGAAAATCTGCAAAATAAATTCTGAAACGTTATCCCAATTTAATTGTGATTTACTAATTGAATCTCTACATCTTAAAGTGAGATTTGATATCTTTAAAGTGAGACGAGATTACTAATTGAATTCAAATTCTGATTGGGAATCTCTCCTCCAACAAAACAACGGGGTATATCATCTTAGATATAAATGCAATATGTAGTAGTGACAAGTGGAATGAAAATGACTTTGCTACAAGTTCCAAAATCACAAAACTTACACGAAATCAAAAGGTGAAACAGAGTTTGGAATGTTTTTTTTTTCCTTGAGGACTAATCTATATCAACATGAACTTTCTTTGGTAAAAGTTAATGGTAGAAAGACTGATTTCAATAAATAATTAAGAAATTAGTTGTAGGTTACCATAAAAAACACCCCAATATGTAGCTGATTATCTAAAACACTATTGATGTTTAAAAACATATAAAAAGATATCTCTAAATTAGCAAGTCAATTATCAAAATAGTCCTACAGTGACAAAAAATTGATGTTTTTTTAAAAAAGAAAAAAAAACTCTAATAAAAAAAATATCAAATTCTAAATCCAAAATTCAGTAATTTACGAGCCCACAAAATTTGAACTCTTGTAGCGAGTTTGATTAGGTTCTTTTTTTTTTTTTTCTTATTTTACCTGTTACAAAATGTTTGATATTAAATTTTTTTTTTTTTTGGTACAAAGAAAAGAGTCCAAGGCCTAAATTAAGATGTTAACACTCTCCTTGGATAAGAAACACCTAAAATGTCATGTTGATCCAAGGAATCGCACCACTAAGAGGATCAGCCAGATGAACCAAACCTCCAGGACCACTCGCTGCAAATGTAGCCAGATAATCTGCCACAAAGTTTGCCTCACGATACTCATGTGAAACCCTAACCTCCCAACTCCGGTTGAGCAGCTCCTTGATTGCTTTTAGCAAATTTCTATGGATTCCAACCGCTTCCGCGTTACTCGAGACCAACTTCACAGCACACTGACTATCGATTTCCATCAAAACACGACGAAAACCCATCTCCCAGGCCAAATGTAAACCCTGAAAAATTCCCCACAACTCAGCACCAGTAATAGTGCAATACCCAATATTCATAGCAAATCCTCCAAGCCACTTGCCGTAATGATCTCGAACAGCACCTCCAGCACTCGCCATTCCCGTAACACAATTGAAAGAACCATCAGAATTGACCTTAATCCAGTCAACTGGTGGCGCGGTCCAACGAATCCAAACGTTCTCCCTTCCCATGCCAACTCCACCAATACTCCTCGCACCCCATAATGTTGCTGAAATGCTGTTGACATGTCTCTCCATGTTCTTTAGCATTCGACTAGCATTACACTGCTCATTTGAAAAAGTAAAAGCATTTCGTTGTGACCAGACTTGCCAAATGGTTACTCCAAACAAAACTTCCCACTGCTCTCTATTAATGCCAATTGCATTAGTTAAGTTTTTCCAAATCCACTTCTCCAATGGCAGGTTGAAGAAAACCAAAACATTTTCGGAAGGTACAATTCGAGTCCACATGCATGAAGCCTTTGGGCAATCATGGAGAGCATGTAGAGTAGATTCGGCAACTCCCCCACACAACACACACACTGGAGAGTCAGCCAGATGGCGATGCCATCGCTGCCAATTTGTTAACAAAGCTCCCTTCACTGCGAGCCACATGAACTGTCTGATCCTTTGCGGCCCTGACCAATGCCAAATAACCTTCCACAGCCCCCTATTGCTGATATCCTCATCCAGGGTTAAAGAACGATAAGCCGATCTCGTTGTGAATCGGCCATCTTCTGAAAAACCCCAATATGGGACATCCGGTCCTGTATCCACTCTCGAAGGCATAATTGCCGCAACTTTCATCAAAACTGTGGCTGGCACCAAATGCATGAAAACATTCCAATTCCACTGGACAGTCTCCGTAGTAAATTGATCCAGCGTCCAATTGAGTTGTTCCTCCGGCACAACCCCGATAGCCGTATGAATCAATGGTTCTGCACCGTGAAGCCACCTATCCCAGCAAAAGCGAACAGACTTTCCGTCACCAATACTCCATCGAATCCCCTTCATGACATGCTGCCAAACCCTGCTGATGGATCGTAGAACGACCGATCCTTTAGGAAACACAAAGTTCTCCGACATATCAACAGGGTTTAAATGATACTTCGCCTTTAGCACTTGAATCCAGAGAGCATTAGGATTATTGATTAACCCCCAGCCTAACTTCATTAACAATGCATCATTCATCTGGCGCTGGTTTTTCAATCCCAAACCCCCAGCTTCTTTGGAAGAGCAAAGCACCTGCCAATTGACTAAACTAATCTTACGACTAGTTTCTGTTCCACCCCAAATAAAATTACGACACCTTTTTTCAATGCTATCACAAATGGACCTTGGTAACCAGGCTGTTTGCATTGAATAAAAGGGTAAAGTACTTACCACAGATTGAGCTAGAACCACACGACCTGCAAGGGAAAGTGAAGAAGCCTTCTATCCTGCAAGCCGGCCCTCCACCCTATCGAGGATCCCACCATAAGTACTTCATTGCACCCTTCCATGGATAAGAGGCATACCGAGATACTTGCCAAGATTGTCAACCACAGTAAAACCCATCAAACTTGCAAGAGTTTGTTGTCGGTCAGGTTCCACATTCTTAGAGAAAAAGACCCTTGTTTTAGAATCACTTACTTTAAGCCCTGAAGCAAAACAAAACAGCTCCAACACTGATTTTACAAGCACAGCTTACTCCTCCGACGCTTCCAAAAAGAAAAGAAAATCATCGGCAACCCCCATTGCTTTCCACCTTCCATTCGCCGCATGATGTTTAATGATGTGAGCTAGTCGTTCAATACATAGAACAAACAAGTAAGGCGAAATCGGATCCCCTTGGCCGATAGACTATATTTAATTTGTACTTCATAGTAAACCTATTTTGATCATCTTCTTCACAAATTTGAAAATTCACTAACTTTGATTTGCCTTGGCAAAAATCACATACTCGATCTTTTGATAGTACGAATAGTCCCATCCAACTCTCCTACCTCTTCTTCACTAAATGTTTTCTAGTTGTGCAATTCTTAAATTTCAGTATTTTCATCGTCAACATCAAATATTTGTTCTCGAAACTCTAGTTAAGAAGCTTGCGACAATCTTGGAGAGAGTTTGGAGCCCTTTCGAGTTTGCGCGACCACAAAAAGTCACCGGTTTCTTCATTCTTTTTTTTTTTATTTTTTTTATCCCTTCAACTATTAATTATCTCACCTTGTTTTCTTCTTCCCCAATCCGACAAATCTTTCAATTCGGCAAATATATGCCTTTTGGCTTTTCGTTCATTTTTCATGATGTGTTTATTAATTTGCTTATTCTCTGGCTCCATTTTTCCTTAAAGTCGGCTTTGAGATGCTTCGAAATCTGGAGCTAATGTGATGTCAACTAAATACGAAGGATATCATTAGTGGACTTTGTTTTCTCAATCAATATGACAGCTGACCCTTCCATTGATGTCGATCACTACTCCAGTTGTAGTCCGATAATGGAAAATGTCCTTTATTATTTTTAATATCACAAAATAATTATCAAATTTAAATTTTTACTTTTACAACAAATTTTACTTTCTAAGACCATACGAACAGAATTTTGCACGAACATGTCTTGGTTGCATAGTGCTCAAAATGTTGTAAGACATTGAAAATACAAACTAATTTTTTTTTCTCGTCTCTTTCAAAAGCGGTGAATTTTGCTAAATGATAAAAATACTCTTTATGTCCTAAAAAATAATTCACATTATAATTTTTAAATCATATATACTAAAAGTTACACAATCCATATATTGTAATGTAAGTTTTTATGAGTCCGAAGGAGTACCGTTTGTCCTTAATTAAGAACTAAGGATTTAATAGACTTTCTTTAAGATTATTGTAAAAGTCTAGTAAATGTGTGCTTCACTTTGCGCAAAAAAAAAAAAAAAGAAAAAAAAAGAAAAAGAAAAGAAAGAAAGGGTTGAAACCGTCTAATGGTGATCGATACACACAAAAATACCAAAAATACCTAAGTAACCTCCAAACAAATTTAACACACTGAGTAAAGGGCTCATGAATTATAATATGATTATATTCCCGATTAATCCAATACAAGACGTCCAATATTAAAGTTTAAACATATTTAAAAAGCGCATTGTAAAGGACATTACAATCTCAATCAATTTTTCTAGCGGATAGTGCAATCATGCATGCGCATGCATATGACGGCTTATGACTGTTGCCACTTAAAATTGATACCTTTGTTTTGTTATAATATTTTCCACAAAAAAATAGGTGGTCACAAATCTTCTGTATACTAAAAAGAAATAATAAAATGGATATAAACTTTCGCTTTATCTTTTCAAAAACAGTAAACATTTTTCGTGATATTTTTTTTAAAAAATTAGAATTGGCCCATATAATTCATAATAATATGGATTTTTTCTTTTTAAATGATATACTTCCTCTGTCCCATAATTATTGTCCAGTTTGAGATTTCATTTTTAGTTCAATTCCATAATTATTGTCGATTTTATTTTTAGTTCAATTCTAATAATTATGGGACGGAGAGAGTATATATCAGTGATCAACCATCAAAATTTTGGTGCAAAAAGTAAAATCTCACGAGACTTCTAGCATCAATACAATACAACTCGAAAAAAGATTCATACGACAAAAGAAAATGAGCTCATATAGACAACCACCGGTAACCAAAAACCTCATTTCGACCTACACAAAGTCATAACCAAAGTTATATTCTAAGTCCCATTTATTTGGACTAGATGAATATTGTTGATATCTTTTTATTTATTTATTTTATTCCACACGGATTGTGTGTGTGCAAGAATAGTTGGTAGCCTTGAATATGTACACCTAGGTTAGCGTTGAACTTGGTCAAGCTCATAGACTTAATTCCTAATTTTTTTTAAAAAAGTAATAGGCACCATTATTGAAGGCAAGTACATAATGAATTATTTGGATCGTCACATGCAAAAATAATTCGATCAGCTTAATTATTATTACTATTACGTTAATTTCTCATTAATTGAGAAGATTCCCTCTAATCTTCTGGTCTTGATTTATCATTGAAAGATTAAATTTTATTCTTCCGTTTTGTAATTATCTAATGATGAATCTACAACTTCAAATGCCAAGAAGGTTCTATATATACGTTTGAAACGAAACAGAAGAAGAAGAAGAAGAAGAAGAAATTTTATTTCGGAAGAGTCATCATTAATATTAAACATGGAGATGAAACTAGCCCGTTTCCTTCTCCTTCTTCTACCTCTCTTCATACTTTTTTCCTCTTTGATTGATCAAAGCTATGGAAAATTGCATAGAGAAACTCATAGTCAGTTTTTGAAGGCAAAATTTAACCCAAATTCCAATATTGAAAATTCCCTTTTCGAAAAATTGCATGATTATCAGCCTACTTGTGACGACGATCAAAAAGGGCTGAAAGAGAAAGACCGGATTTCAAAACTTCCCGGACAACCGCCGGTCAGATTCAATCAGTACGGCGGTTATGTCACCGTTGATGAGTCTGCTGGTCGGGCTTTTTTTTACTACTTTACTGAGGCTCAAGATCCCCAAAAGGCTAAAGATTTACCTCTTCTCCTTTGGCTCAATGGAGGTATATATGCTTCTTTAATTTTCTTTTCTTATGATATCACTATATATGTAGTACTCCTTTTTGTATCGGTAGAAAATCGTGTATTTGTTTGTATTATTTTAGTTCAACAAAAAAGTTTTTTTTTTTTTCCCCCTTTTTTCAACATATGCTAGTTTGGTGCTTTGGTGACAGAGAAACTAATGTTTTGTATCTTTTAGACTTTTAGTGTTTTTTTTTCCGTTGATATGGATGAGTAAATAGGCCTGTTTGGATTGCTAATATAAACCCCGAAAAGTGAAATGGCTTTTGCTTTACTTTTTATTCAATTTTCCTTTTTCATATTTCATGTACTTTTTACATTACGAATACAAATTTAGTTTGTTTATAATATTGTTACATGCCCTAATAATCTCCTTCGAATTAATTTTTTTTTTAATTTTATGAAACACTTTATTCTGGGTTGCAAGGATTTCATCTTCCTGTTTTACTTTTAAATTATCTTAAATAATTTTAAATGAAAATTTTCATTGAAAATGGTTACTCTTAAGAGATTATAAAGTTCTTGTTGATCATGGGATAACTAATTAAGTAGACCTGATTTCAGACAATGATTATGGAAGGATCGATCCTTATAAGTAAAATTGGATAAAACAAAATCCAACTATGATTGCATGGAAGAAATTGATTTTAGTGGGATACTTTATTCTGTGGATTTGACTTCCAATAATGCAAAGTACTCAAGTTAGGACAATTTAGGACAGGTGGATTGACTCAAATTGACATTTTCCAAATGATTGTTTCTCCCACCTTAATGCCTTTTAACATCTGGACACCACTTCTATGTCTTGACCCGACAGTCTGTAAAGCCTCCCATATTAATTGGGTTAATTTGGAGACCACAATAGCAGATTGAAATTTTTTTTTACTTCTTATTTCACGAGTCATATTTTATGAATAATTATTATTTTGGAAAAAAAAGTGCATATATATTTTATGTGCCAAAGTTCTGGATTGTTAATGGTTATGTTAATCCTTGAAGAAAATTCTCAGATCCATTCCTTAAATAAAACCAACCAATGTTCCTTAAATAAAAATAAAACCGATCGATGGTAGTTGAATTTAGTAATTTTATATCTGATTTGCCTAAAAAATACAGTTTATTATCAAAATCTTCCTAAAAATGTTTGATTTATGAAGAGCGGATTCTATTGGAATTTTAATATATTGAATGGTATTGTGACGGGATATAAATGATTTGATGGAGAGTTTAATGAATCAAAAATATTATTTCTGATTGAATAAAAATCCATATGGCCATCAGTATTTTTCACAACATTTTCAACTTGTGAAATAGGTCCTGGATGTTCCTCACTTTCCTATGGAGCGTTTCAAGAACTTGGACCATTCAGAGTTGGCAGTGATGGCAAAACTCTCTTCGAAAATAGATTTGCTTGGAACAAAGGTTTGCAAATCTCCAATCAATTTAATTAATTAATTTAAATTTTTGTATCAATATAATTTTGAGCTTGTTAATTAACTACCTGTAATTGTTGTCTCATCAACAGCTGCAAACGTTTTGTTCTTGGAATCTCCAGCTGGAGTAGGGTTTTCATATTCGAACACAACATCAGATTATACGATCGGTGGGGATATAAAAACTGCTCAAGATAATTACATTTTCTTGATAAATTGGCTCGAAAGGTTTCCAGAATATAAAGGAAGAGATTTTTACCTTGCTGGAGAGAGTTATGCAGGGCATTATGTGCCTCAATTAGCCCATAATATTGTTTATCATAACAACAAGGCAAATAAGACCATCATCAACCTCAAAGGAATTCTGGTATGTCATTCTTTCTTGTTTATAGTACAAACAGAGAAAAAAAAAAGAAAGGCAAAAGAGATCCTATTTTATGTCATGAAATAATAAATCAGTATTAAATTCCTTTTAGGAATCAACATATATTTTAATACTTTTGGCAAAAACGTACTAATTAAATTAATCTTATGTTTTCGAGTAGTATATGATAACAAAACCCAGAAAAGACAAGCTTACTTCAACTAATGTGGTAGAAGGAATATAGCAGTTGGTTTATAAAAAACGGGGCCGGGGTACTAATTAACATAGATTCGACTAAGGTGATTGCTAAAAGACTACCTCACCTAAGTTGATACTAAAATCGAGCCAAAAAGTTTAAACAAAAACATCATAGATTTATCCTATTAAGTGTTTTTCAATTCTTGACTCACAAAAAGTATACTTAATTTTTATGTGGTTTTTACTATTTTGCATTTTAATGTGTTATGTGTAGGTTGGAAATGGAGTGATCAATGACGAGACAGATAGTGTAGGGATGTATGATTATTGGGCATCCCACGCTCTCATTTCTCCTGAGACTTTGAAAGAAATCCACACTCACTGTGATTTCTCAAAGGGCGATAATTTGAGCACTGAGTGCCAAAGTATTACTGATGAAGCTGATCAATTGTTCAGAGAAATTGATGTTTATAGCTTATACTCTCCTCGGTGCTTCAGTGACAATCTTACCACCATTCCCAAGCCATTCTCGGTGAGTTTGCTAATCTTTCTTCTTTTTTTTTTTTTTTTACTTTCTCCGTTCTAATTTAATAATCTAGTTTTTGTATAGTAGATTATTAAACTGGAATGGAGGAAACATTAACAAATTTGCTTGAGTTAAATAGATTCTCTTTGATGATTAGAATATTTAATTTACTTGTAGCAGTTGTAAATTCATTTTTTTTTCTTTTCTTTTGCGGGTCTTGGTAAATACAAAAATTTTGACTTTGTTAAATTTTCATTCAAAACTTTTATACATTCGACAATCAATCATTGACTGAATTATTGTTTAAAAAATTTAACCGGCATTACAAATTTATATGTGTTTTTTGGCAGATAATGAATATAGATCCCTGTAGTGAATACTACGTCTACGCGTACTTCAACCTGCCCGAAGTTCAAAAGGCATTGCATGCAAATATCACCAACATTCCCTACGATTGGGAACCATGCAGGTTTATTTTATCTTTTTTTATTTTAGGCTTTTCATTGGAAAAATATTTTAATACTAAGTAAAATATTTTTAATAGTCGTCCATTATTCACAAATTATTTTTAACCTTTATCTCTTTGTGCAGTGACGTTCTAGCAAATTGGACTGATAGTGCATCAACTGTGCTCCCTATTCTTAGAGAATTAACGGAAAATGGAATTCGAGTTTGGAAGTTTAGGTAACCTCCCATCCTCGACCCTTTTTATTAGTTCATATTTTATTAGTTTAACATAACAATTATAGAATAATGTTACATCAAAAATTTGTTGGGTGAAAATACAATTCGCGTATTTTCTAAAACTTTGAGTAAATTGAATCTCAATAATCATTAACAATCTTTATATGCAGTGGTGATGTTGATGGAAGGGTACCCGTGACTGGAACACAATACTCTCTGGAAAAACTGAATTTCCCAATTCAATCTCCTTGGAGTGCCTGGTACCTATCTGGGGAGGTGAGTTAATTTAATCATTCTATCCTTATTGCAATTGATTACACTAAAATTGTTTTCATTAGCTATTGATATTAGGGCATTTCATTTCTTTTCGATTCACCAATTACAATAAAAAGAGTGTTTTTTAATAATTATTTTTTCTATGATTAATTTAGGTCGGGGGATTTGTTCAATACTACAAGGATAATTTGACATTTGTGACAGTAAGAGGAGCCGGTCACCAAGTGCCAAGTTATAGACCAGACAGAAGTTTATCACTTGTTTCGCACTTCCTTTCAAACACTCTTTTACCATATCACTAGGCCATAGAGAATACAGCGATACTCTTTTTTTGTTTTTTAATCTCTGAAAGGATGGACACATTTCAATTATTCAGGAGTAAGATTATCTTGCTTAGGAAATTTCTCAAATATTGAACAAAAGTTATAATGACTTCTTCAGTACCTCTTCACTCTTCTTCTTTGATTCAAAGTAGTTCTGGAAATGTTTGGTTATAATTTTAATGCTAGCTTTGTTGTTTAAAAAAAAACGATGATTGTATTGTTTCTAATTCAATAAAGAGTACTATATTTTTTTTATGCTTCATGTTTGAAATTCATCAGCGCTGTCCCAATCCTATATCATTATAATAAAAATAACGAAGAAATGCAGAGAATGCTGACTTTTATTTGTAAGATAAAACAGTCAACTACTTCTTGCAAGGAACATGGAAAACTATAACTTTATTGATCAAGCAAATTATGATTCAAGCAAATTATGATTAGTCCGTGAATACAACAATTGGACTTCTCGCGGTATGCTTTTCGTCAAACCACTGAATTGAAGCAGAACCGAATCCTTCAAACTCTGTAACAGCCACTATCAACTGGAATGACTTTTTCTCATTGCGCGCTTTGAAAGACAAAATGTATGGATCCAAAGTAATGTCTTCCAAAGATCCTAGTATGCTTTTGCCATTGTAAATTGAGTTGTCCGGACCAACATTTGTAACAGTTCTCGTGAACGTGACGTTGAAACTCTTGCCTTTCTCGACTTTGGCAGTCATTGTTGGATGATTAAGGTCTTTGTCTTCGATCAGAACCACTCCGGCGCAGCTGACGTTGAGTTCTGTTGACAAGTTCTTGCCACAAATGCACTTGAAGTAATCTGCACGTAAGGTCTCGTACACAAGTCCTGGATATGGAGCTTTTTTAGGATTTAAATGTCCTGCTCCGTAACCGAAATCGGAGTCCCCGTAATACGAGTCGGTTTTATCCATCTTAAAAGCCGGTATACATATCATTTTGATGAAATTAAACGAGTTACCAATATGTACTAGTGGTATCCTAAAGTCACATGACGGAAGAAGTGATTTATATCTATCAAATTAATTAACCTGTAGTCATTAAAGCGGATTTGATCGCGGAAGGGGACCAACTTGGATTTATGTAAACCCGGAAGGGGACCAACTTGGATTTATGCACGAAATTGAGGTTCCATGTATCATAGCGTACTCCTCGGATCTGTTGATCAGTAGGAAACCCGGAAGGGTTTCCGGCCGGTGAAAAGGGTGCGAAGATTTCAACTCCTGGAGCAGTAATAGCTGGCTGCAGTGTACAACATTTGGATAATCAAACTTGTCACTATTATTGTATATGAAGTAAAATGTGTCAAAGAAAACTAAAGTCATTACCTTGAGAATGTCGGGGAAAAAATAGTTAGGCCCTCGGGCCGAGAATGAAGCAACATTGGGTGCAGTAACATCATCTATAGCTTTAGTTTCTAACAAGTTCCCTGTGGCTGTTCTGAAAATCAAGCAGAATGCATAAACGAATTCAATAACGAATCATAGTGAAAAAAGAATGATAACAATGCTTAAAGGGATATCAATATCAGATACTCACTCGGTGGACTTGATATAATCAACAACCTCTTTCAACTGCTGTGGACTAAGACGTGAGTATGGATAAAACGTAATGAAAGCAACTTGAGGCTCATCATCGACTAATATTCCCCCAAACTAATATTCCCCCAACGCCGCCGGTTCTGTTAACTTCAGTAACGGCGTCGAAGATTTCGTAGGGGTCACTGGTGTTACAAACAACAATCTTTCCCTCCATTAGATCTCAAGGCATCCGCTAAAACACATCCTGCAAAAACAAATGAATGCTTTAGTTATTCTTACCTTCAGTCTTAGGGATGACCACCATGGAATTTTTTTTTATTAGAAAACAACAAAACAAAGATGACCATGATGGCCTAATAAACAGATAGAATGGAGAACTACTCTGCATCAATATCTGAACAAATTTTCGAAGCTTGTTGCCCATAAACAAGGGGAAATTCGGTCCCATTCAAATGAAAAGCGTTTACTCCATTGCCCTGGAACATCAGAAAATCAGACCATATAAAAGTCAAATTATTGTAGAGGAAAGAAAGCTTTTGGTGAATACCAACTACATACATTCAGTGTCTTTCCATTTCCAAGGACAACACGGGCGACAAATTTGCGAGTCATAGTGCTAGCAGCAACAGTGAATAACCACGGCGCAACATTAAAAACCGCTCCTGGCGACATATCCCCATTATTTCTGGCTGAATGGACAGTGAGAATATCTTTTGAGTAAGCATGAAAAGATCTAATGGCTATGGGATCATTCCTTATGTCAACTTGTTTGTGTGAAAATAATCCGTAGAAACTGACACACGCATGCAAACAATCTCAGATGAAAGTGTATAATTCGTGAGATGCAATATTCGGCTAGGCGTAAAGAAAAAAGGGTATAAAACTTGTAATAACTTGAATAAAGACTAAATTGCTGATAAATTGATGAACTTAAACGAATTTAAATGAGTAAATCGAATAAAAAGACTTGTGAAAAAGTACTGAAAAGAATAATAGGGTGCGAAAAAGAAAGAAGAGAGCTTTGCAGCTTGTTGTTGATGATGAGTTATGTCCTCTGCGTTACCCTATTTCTCTCCTTATGTAGGTCTCGGGAATTACTTGAGTTGGTGCAATCTCCGATTCTTAGTAGAATTAGTGTTGCCAATTTTGACTTGCAATTGACTTTTATTTCCGATTTCCTTCTTTTCTCACAATTGGAACTCTTCTCTAATTTGGATTCGGCTTTCTCCACGTCGGGTTGGACTTTAAACGCATCTCCCTTTTCCGATTCGGCTATGGACTCTTTGTGACATGCAAATTGGGCCGATTCATAACTTTTGTTGGCCGACACAATTATTTAAAATCGGTATCCACATAAAGCCCCCCCAAGGCACAGCTCATTTTAACAGTGTGGTGTGCCTTTGAGTTTACATCAGGCCAACAATGAATTGGCCTAATAAGCAGTGACCCACAGATTGAAATGAAGATAGGTGTGTGGTGCTTCCCCCAGTCAAAGGTGTGACGGAGATAACGATTTTTACTGAAGAATCGGGAAGAGATCTTGTTCCAAAACAAGCCGTTGGGGAAGACGTGTAGGGAATCAGAGCTCATTCCCGCGAATCGAGGAGAATCATTCTCTTAATGACACTACTTATCCCAATAGTAAATTCATTCAAAAGCTTCGCTTCATTCTCCTGCGGTTCGATTTCACCAAAGCGAATCCCAAATTTGAAAAAACACAATTTTTCTGAAGCGCCATGGCCGAGACATACGCAGTGAAGTTTGATGCGGAATTGGCACAAACGAGGAAAGTGAAATCAGAAGAGCTAACTGGCGTTGTCACTGGATTTCCAAGAACTGCTCAATCCACATGGACCGCCGGTCACTATTCGCTGGGGCTTAGTTTTATGGCCAACAACGCTACGCTCCGGGAATATATTCCGGTGCTGCACCCAAAAAATACATCCCATAGGTTTTTGTGTATCGGTTTTGGGCCTATCCGTGGATGGCCATGGACATCGGAGAAGAGTTCTGTAAGTGGGCCAAGATGATGGAGAAATACCATGCGGTGACCTGGAAGAAGGCCGGCATATATGATTTGATTCAATTCTGCCAGATGGGTATTTTCGACAACAAAATGTTGTTGGGGGTTGCGTCAAGATTCTAGAGCAGCTCCAGCAATATATTATGTTTCCCATGGGGTTTTATGACTCCGACCTTGCTAGATGTGGCAGTGATAACCGGTGTGCCAGTGGTTGCTGATGTCACCATAGATGGAGATAGTGAAGGGGCCGATGCTGTCAAAGCCGGGACATTGCAACAAAGAGGGCATGGAGGATACATTAAGGAGAACCTGCTGAAGCCATATGATGATCATGTGCAGCATATCAGATTCCTGGCTGTATGGCTGAATCGGTACATTATATGTGGTAAGTCTTTCCAAATGACTCAGGATATGTATCATATGGCTGCCATTCTTGCTTCTGGAAAATCCATTAATCTATGTGAGATTATGCTTGCAATGTTGTATCATAGTAAGCATGAGATTAGGAAAGCACCAAATGAAACTGTGTTTGGTCCAATCTGGCTGTTATTCTTGTGGTTTTATATGTACTTCCCCTAGTTAAGGGTAGCAGGGATTAATCTACTAAGAATCAGTCTTTGTGCCTTAGTGTAACCCATACTGGTGTGGCTAGATACAACAGTAAGTTTGTAGCCAGTGTGTTGTGGGACTCGGCAGCAAAGTTATCTGTGATATTGAAAGAATTGTCACATAAACATTGGCATCCTACTTTTGGCTGGCAAACACAAGTTGAAGCCGAGTCTGGAAATTGGAATGATGATAGTGCATCTAGATTGTCGAATGTGTGGAGGAATTTATTGGTACCTAGGGATCTGTATTATGGGTTCAAAAGTCTATCTCCACAGACTGGTGAATGTCATATGCATGCTGAGTATTATCCGACTGTGATGGTGGCGAGACAACTAGGCTTAGTGCAAGGTATCCCCTTTTTATGTAGCATGCAAACACACTTGGAAATCTAGGAGGGGAAAGATGACCATGCTTGAGTATTATGAGCAAAGAGAGATCATGGCAAACAGATGTCGCTCCGGGAAAGTGGTGCCTTTTGAGATAGTTCCTGAAGCATCTGTTGTGTTTTATATCTTTTTGGAAGAAGTACAGCGAACTCGGTACTCACCGCACTTGGATGGTATTCTACAAAATGTGTTGCCCATTGACTCAGACATCCCAAAGCCACATGTAGTGGATGAACAAGCTCCCCTAGGTAATCACACATTCTATTTTAGTTATGACAGGGTATTTGTTATAAAACAAAACTAAAGCAGGAATACTTGTGATACTGTGTTTGGTAGGTCAGACTCCTGTAGCCACTGGAAGCTAGAGGAATCTGAAAAGGAAAAAGACAATAGATGCATCGCAACAAGTGAAGGGTCCAACATCTGCCTGATTGACAGGAACAAAGAAAACAGCTGGCAGTAGTTCAAAGGTAAGTAACTTATGGTGACGTTGTAGTGGGTAGAAAACAAATGGTACTTGTCCATGTCCATTGTAATGGTTTGTGATTGTCTGTGTTGGTCGCAGAAACTTATTGAGATGGTGGATTTGTTTGCTGATGAATCAGATGCAATCGATAACAAACAGACATCAGATTCAGTGGATGAAGATGCTGCTAGCAGCTCGGATCAACATGTCTCTCCGCCGCCAAAACAGCAACCAGGCTCCAGGACGTGGCAAAGAAGTGCCAAGCAAACTAGTGTCACTGCGGCCTCTCCGACAATTAAAGAGTTGCAACAGCGTTTGTTCCACAAGATGGAGGAAACAACACCAGTGATGAAAACTAGTGGCAAAGCAGCGCAATCTGTTGGAGCCGCCTTGAGAGAGTTGCAGGGTTTTTCAAAATTTAGTGCAGAACAAGTCCATGCTAAGTACCACCAGTCACTAAAACAAGCACTTGAAACTATTCAAGGGAGTGAACTGCCAGAAGCGGTAATGGCAATAGTTAGTCTGTTCGTAGCCAATTTTGAATAAAGAAAGATAAGTTGTGAAATTTGTGTGAAGCATGTGGAAGATTACAACCACGCCCGTCCAGGCCGGACCGGACCGTATCTATATATATATATATATATATATATATATATATATATATATATATATATAAACTATTTGTGTATATATATATAATAAATTGATTTTACTTATCAGATGTGCCATGCCAGCTTAAAGGGTTAGTTACTCCCTTATGTTTACCTTCAAGGTGCTAGGTTCGAAACTCCCAAAAAGTGAAACTAATACCCAAATCATTTTCACCCTAATTCCCAAATCTTTTTTCCTTCTCTTCGCATACAGCCCTTCAGATCTACCTCTCTTCATCTTTTCTCCCAAAATCAATCCTCCCCACCGCACCCAATTCTCCTCCTCCCTCTTCTCCATCATCCATCCCGGCGGTATGCTCCTTCTCCATAGCCTATTATCTCTCAAGCCCTTCGAAAAAAAAAAATCTAGCCAAACCCGATTTAATAAAGGAATTGTTTCTCTCAACGGTTAAGATAGAAAATGACAACAAAACTAATGCCATGGAGTTGGATTTGGACGATTTTGAGGAGGAATTGATTGGTGACAATGAAGCTGTTGAGGTCATTGAGGAAAAGCATGGAGTTGATGGTAGTTTGCGTTCCAAAAGGAAAAAGAGAAGCTCGCTTATATGGAAACACTTCACCATCCCAAAATCTGATGAGGAGCAACAAACTTTTTGTAAGTATTGCAAAAAATATTATTCTTATAACCCTTCAAAGTTGGTACTAGTAGTTTGTGGAATCATTTTCGTACTCAATGCAAGAAAAATCCTCACCGAAATCTAAATAAGAAAAAGAGTACTTTGGTTTGAAGCATATACCATAGACCACACCGAATCTTACGGTTTGGAATTTTGACAAACTGGCCGGCTGCTCCCTTGCATATAGAAACTAGCCAAATCGTTAAAAACGGTACGGTTCGGCCGGTTTCGGCCGACTCATGTACATCCCTAGTAGATGCAACTCTGCTACTTGCCGCCTGCTGTTGCTGCTGACCAAAGTGAAAGAATGGCTACTCCAGGAAGAGAGAAATGGTGCTGCAAGTGATCCCGAGAGACAAGGAAGAAAAGAGCAGAAGATTTGAGGCCAAATTGGGGGATGAAAAGGAAGAAACATAATGAGAAACGGAAGCATGCTGCT